TAACATAATTAAGAATATAATGAATTAAATATATTTTTAATTGTAAAATAAATTGAAATATTTGTGGAGTTGGTGTTAATAAAGGTATCATCATTCATATCATCATTAGGTATATATTGGGAGTAGAAAGATAATTTTTTAGAAAATTTGTTTATATTTCATTAAAATCAATTCCTCTTGATTATTAATAATAGTTAAAAAAATATAATAAGGATATTAATAACTTTCTTATACAAACTGATATAAGAAAGAAATAATTTTATCATATTTACAATATATTGAGAGATATAATATATAATAGAAATTCAAAACCAAAAAAGGAATTTATGTGAACACAAATTAATATTGAAGTGAATTTTGAATTTCAATCATTAAACAATGAAATTTAACCGCAATATAATTAATACCCATAATATAGATTGATTTTAGTCTTCTATAAAAAAAACAAATGGTATATATAAAGGATTTTAAGAAAATAAATTACATAGAATGCATACATATACAAGTAGGAGAATATTATTTATCATAATCTATTCAAATAATTTAATTTTTTAATAGAATAATTTATTAGATTTTATTATAGTAGTTACTTTTTGAATAACTAGATTTTTTACTAATTATAAATGGTTTTCATCAACTATATAAAACACATATAGATAATATAATATAATGTAATATATATATAATTAAATTGGACATCTTATCAATGATAATTAAAAAATAAATTTTAAAAAATATTTATGAAAAAATTATTTATGATTTACAATTCAAAATTTGTGTCATTAGAAATTAAAATTATATTAAAAATATTTTTTTAAAAAAATCAAACATTATAACATAAATAGTAAAACAGATATTTAGAAATTATATTGTCATTAAAATAGTTATGATTAAAATTATCATATAGCTTATTTTTAGTTTTTAATAATATATATGTATATAACATTGTTTGTGTAAAAGAATATTATATATATATATATATATATATAAAATTTTGCATAGTAAGTTAACAGGTTCATTATAGCCCAATTGGTAAAGCTGCACGTACGCACAGATGAAGTCTTAGGTTCAAGTCATGGAGAAGTCATTTTGAGGAGGAATTATATGATAGCCACATATGGTCTCACAAGGTGACATGTGAGGTGGTAGCACACGTGGTAGGTAGAAGTGAGGTGGTAGTAACCTGTGGCAATCCTTGCTGAGGATGCAAGGATACATGGAGGTGGTCGACGAGTGTCGCTAGTGATGATGTGGTGACTGGTAGAGGCGTCACGTGAAATTTTATTTTATTTTTTCAAAAATTAGGTTAGCGACGGAAAAATTCCATGGCTAATTTGTGACGAAAATTTCTACCATTAATTAGCGACGGAAAATTTCCATCAGCAATTAGCGATGAAAAATTCCGTTGCTAATCCGTGTGTAATTAGCAATGGAATTGTAATCTAATTAGCGATAAAGAAATTAGTGACGGAATTATAATCTAATTAGCGACAAAGAAATTAGCGACAGAACAAATTCTGTCGCTAATTCGTTCGTTAAATAAAAAATTCCGTCACAAATTGCATATTTTTTTGTAGTGAAACCTCCCACTGAGTTTGAATACAAAAAAAAAAAAACTTGAATTTACTGGATCAGCATTATTCAAATCTTTGTGTTATATGTGTTTAATCCAGCATCTTTTATTTCTTCATTCGAGAATTAAAAAACGTTAATTTATTTCAATGACTACTACTTATCTTTATATTTCTCTTCAAATAATGCATAACTTGCCTCCATATTTTCCATGTTCTTTTGCATGAAAAGACAAAATGCAAGCACCAAATTCTTTTTTTAGATACAAAATGTTTCAATGTGACAAGGGATATATACCTCCAAAGCATGCTCATAATTCCAGAAGAAAAGAACCTAAACAGAGCCTCTCACATCATATTTGAAATTCAATTTAGTTGTAACACGTTGGTTTAGAAGAAATCTCTGGATATTTTCATTATAGAGAGAAGCGGGGCTGTCTCTTGGTGGAGGAGTCTTTTATTCAAAAGGAAAATGTTATCTACCAGACCTCCTTATGCCAAAAAAAAAAAAACATAATAATTACATTGGGAATACAGAGATCTGACCCAGAATTCAAACCCAACCAGACATTGATACCTTGGGGTTAACTGTTAAGTAAGGTTTCTCAAAAGCCTTGATGTGTGTCATTCCAGAAATAACCTTTCCCATCAAAGCGATGTAATTTAAGCCTCAGTGAGGGAGATAATGTCAATTCCCAGGATTTTCTACCGGATGAGAGGAACAATATATGGCCAGAGAAAAGCTCGAGATATTGAATATTGAGGATGTTGCTGATTCTGTATACCAAAAGTCTCCTAGCTATGATCATTATATCACATACCATCTATTGAATAAGAGTTGCCTTTTTTATTGCCTTTGACTCTGTCATACTAAGATCAGCGTTATTCAAATCTTATTTTGGGGCCGTAGTAGCCTCTTAATTTGAAAGGCTAGGTAGATGCTCTTTGCTTTTTCCTCTTGCCTCGCGTAACAACTTGATTAATTGACAGGTCCAAAGAAGCTCGACTTATGTATGAGAAACTCCAATCTCACCCAAATCCTAAAGTGAGCAAGAAAGCAAGACAGTTCGTGTATGTATGAGAAACTCCAATCTCACCCAAATCCTAAAGTGAGCAAGAAAGCAAGACAGTTCGTGTTTGGCTTTCAGGTAATTATTTTGTTCCACATGAAAATATTACTGCTTTTTTTTTTTTTTTGGGGGGGGGGGTGGGAGGACAGGAAAGCCCCATATTTGTGAGATCATATTGACAGAAGTGGGACTCAATCTTCTCCCTCTCTCTTTTTATTTCAGTAACAATATATATCAGGACTTCTTAAAGTAATTAGATCTAGGGAGAAGTATAATCAAGTCCCAAGAAAGAAAAATAATTACTAAAAAATCCTAATAATAACTTAAACAACCTGCAATGACAAATTTCAAAAGAGAAAATGACAATTTTTGGGACTTATTTTGTAATTTTTTTTTTGGGATCTCATTGTAATTCTCCCTTAGATCTATTTATTTTACCTCCAAATCTCATAAGTTATACTTTTGTATGTTGAAAATTAATAATAATTAACTGGTTATAATTAAATAGTATTTGACAATGCAGATATTAGCATGCCCTGACTTCTCTGCCTAAGCTCGTCACAAAAATAGGAAACCTTTTGTTTTATATTGTTAGAATAAAATGACAATGGATCGAAAACATACTGGGTCGGTTTTCGAGTAGGGTCGTCAGATCTTCTTAACTCACACTTAAGCTAGACTATAAAAATCTAAGCTTTTAAGTGCATAGCAGAGCACCTCGTTGCAAGAAAGAAAATAAGAGAGAGAGAGATTTATATAGTAGGAAAGCTCTACTACTGGAGTGATTTGAACTGATGAGGGGAAGCCTCTATTTATAGCCTTTTGTTAGGGGTATTTTGGGTAGCCAAAAATATCCACTAAGCCCATCAGATAAGATATGAGATAAGATATATAAATATATCCTTATCTTATAATATTGTGATATTTGAATCTAAATCTAGAATCAATCACAATCAATTCTAAATATATATACTTAATATATATTTAATCCACACAATATAAATTAATTAATTTAATATAAATTAATTAGATTTATATCGTAACCAATTAGATATGATTTAGGGTATTTGACTAAGTTAAACATATCACAATATCGCTTGGATATTTGACTGGTATATTCTCTTTATATCCGATCAAATAATCCGGCCCATCAAGGGCGGATCCAAGCCCAAAATCTAACATGTATACTTCTTGCCATGCATGATGGTCTAAATCTTAAAACCTGGCAGGCTATGGAAGTGATGAAGGTGACAACAGGATCTCCATTTTCATCGAACATAGGCTACCAGAATTATTTTGATGCTTTCATACAAAACAAGTCTAACTATCCTTTACAAGAAGACCTCAATGTGCAAGAAAGGGCACTTAATCAAGTTCTGCCCTATCTTCTCTTTCTCATTTTTCCTATTTTCATGGTAATATTTGTTGCCTTGCAGAAGAGAATATGAACAGTTTTTTTTTTGGGGTATATAGACAACTTCTCTATTGTATATATATGTCACACGCACACCATGTCTTGTTTCATAGTTGTGAGGTTCCAGGGAAAGGAGAATCGGTGTATTATTCATTTGTATCACTGCCTTAATAAATACTGTTAATAAACACTTAATAAATACTGTTAACCCACATCGTACAAAAAAATACAGCTGATGCTTGCAGCTACTTAATACTAGACATAACTACCTCTGTCACCTACTCCCTATCATAGTATTGGTGCTGTTATGGAAGTGGAGAAGTTAGATCTTCTACATTTCATGGAGTTTAAGGAACAAGTCTCAGCGGTGTAGTGTGAATGTTGATCTACCCCAGTTAGTATAATAAGACTTGTTATTATTACTTGCAACTTGTGAATAATGTAGCTTACTATAAGTTTTTATTTGATACTGATGACGACTGATGATTCATCTTATTAGCAGAGAAGAATGGAAAATTACTGCTGCCACATTTGGTTCTTGAAAACGATAGTGTTATGAATATAGTTTATTTGGAACTTGCAAAAGCCTGTTGCTTAAGTTCACACTTCGAATCCATATAAACTTTTGATACATATATGTGTGTGTGTGAGTGTGAAGATCCGAGTTGCCCTAAGGCAAATGTATAGCCTCCTATTTGGACTGCAGTTTTTTTTTCTTCTCTTTTTGGGGAAAAAAAAGGCAAAATGAAAATATATTAACTCATGAAATGTTTACATATGATGGAAGAAGACTGAATTAAAACTGAAATCAATAAACTGTGATAAGAAAAACTGATTGGCATTTGGCAACATATATGTCAACTTTAGATAATGTCGAGGCCATGAGCTATATATTCTCTAAAGTGGACATTAAGAAGAAGAAACATGACTTGTAACAAATAGGATATGGCTGAGAGCGAACGCATGGTTGAGAGCGAACACACCGACGGAGGGGAAGGAACAGACGACGGCGAGAAGGCAAAAAGAACAAGAAAGAAAGTAAAACATCCACCGCTGGCGGATACAGATGGAAAAGAGAAAGATGAGCCTACGCAGGAAACGTCCAAATCTTTTAAAGCCACTCTTCTGGGTACCTCTTCAGATCAGGTGTCAAGAGACAGGAAAGGCGCTAGTGTCTTCGACGAAGCTTGGGCTGAATACATTGATGGTCTGCAAGGTTATTTCAGTAAGGAAAATATGGATGGGGTAAGAGATGATACTGAGGATGTGGATACCGATGACGATGAGGACTGTCCAACACTGAAGGTGTCGAGAGCGGACTACGAGAGATGGTGTGCTCCTTGGAGAAAGTCACTGATTGTGAAGCTGCTTGGGAAATCAGTCCTGCTATGGGTCATGAAGAACAGCCTAAAGTGGATGTGGAAAACGACCAAAGCCTTCACTACCAGAGATATCGATAATGGTTATTTTGTGGTCTCTTTTGAAGACGAGGAGGATTTGAATCGTATCTATCAGGAAGGTCCGTGGATGGTGTCGAACAGGTACCTCGTTGTCCAACGTTGGCGACCAAACTTTGATCCATGGAGTGCTGATCTGCAAAAGAAGATAGCAGTATGGATCAGGATACCTTTACTACCGTTAGAATTCTTTAATGCTGAAAGCTTAAAGATGATTGGTTCTTTGATTGGACGAGCTCTGAAAATTGATCGGGTCACTTATGGAAGCGAAAGAGGTAAGTATGCTCGAATATGTGTAGAAATAGATATTAAAAAACGTCTAAAGTCAGCCGTTAACATATTTGGGAGATGTCGATGTGTCGAATACGAGGGACTACACCTAATCTGCTTCTGCTGTGGCAAATATGGCCACCACAAAGACTCCTGCCCTGAGAAAACTACTAATTAGAATACAGCAAAGGAACAGGAGGAGCATCAACCAAAGGGCACCACTCCTATGACGAAGACCTTTGAGGCAATTAAAGAAGCTAGTGCTGAACAGGAGGTTGAACACCAAGGCGGAAAACGAACCAGAGAAGTGAATGTCGGTGTAACATCGGAGGTCGTCGGCGATCAACCACAAACGGAGGGCTTCGGAGTCTGGGACCTCGTTCAACGCATAAGGCGAAGCAAACCAGGAATGTCCAGGAAACCAGGAGATCAGAATCAGAGTTTCACGAAGATCACGCAAGAGAAGAGGGAAGTGAAGATTTCACGGGAAAGAGACGTTAGTATTAATGAGGCAACCGGGATTTCAGAGGCAACAATCAAGGAGAAGAAGCACGATTCTGTTGTTATACTTAGCAAGGAACAAAGTAATCAAAAGATGTGGGTCCCGGTGACAAAGGGAAGTCAGAATAAGGGAGATCGGAGGCTTAAGGGTAAGGAGAAAAGCAAGAGAATCAGTTTTTCCAAAGCTGGGCCTTCCTTACAGATAGCCCATGATGGTAAATCAAACTTTTTGAACTCACCCAATCCTTTTCAAGTCTTATCCTCAGAGCTTGGTAATGGGTCAATGGAAATAATATTGTCTAAACAACAGAAAGCAAGCCCAGTGGTAAATGAAAACGCTGAAATAGACTGCTCTCTTGATGATCCAGCTGACTCTACAGCCCTCGAGATGCATGGTGCCACTCCTCAAGACTCTACTTACATGAACCCATCTCCACACTCTCACTCACAAGATAATATTTTTGAATTAAGGGGACCTATAAGCACTGTCTCCCCTATAGTTGGCACCCCATGATTTGTCTATTTTGGAATAGTAGAGAAACAGGATCAAAATCCTTCACGGGTCTCATAAAGGAGATTAAAAAATGTTACTCCATCAATTTTATGGCTCTTTTTCAAACGAAATGCAGCGGCTCTATGGCACAGAATCGTTGCAAGAAACTAGGCTTCAATAATTGTGAGACTGTCGACTCAGACGGGTTATGTGGTGGCATTTGGATTGCCTGGGATGACGTGGGTTTCAACATCTCTATAGTTAAAAAATCTAATCAATTTATCCACGTGCTAGCAGGAAAAGGCAATGAGAAGTTATTTATTACTTCAGTTTATGCTAGCACAAATGTAAATTGTAGAAGACAACTTTGGGAAGAGATCTCGGATATTCAACCAACTGAAAACTGGCCATGGATTGTTGGAGGAGATTTTAACGCAACTCTTTACCATCGAGACTGTAGATCGAACGCGAATAATCCCATCTCAGTGGATAAAGATTTTGTCAGATGGTCTGAAAATTTGTAGCTTAATGACTTAGGATGTGTTGGCCCTTATTTTACTTGGCACAGGGAAGGTGTGGAAAGTCGTATTGATCGAGTGGTGGCTAATAATATGTTTAAGGAGAGATACACTGATGCCTCCGTCAAGCACTTACCTTGGTTTAAATCAGATCATAGACCCATCTTGTTTAACTTGTCCTTAGTCAATCCCAGGCAAAAAATTGAACGTCCCTTTCGAGTCTTAGCTTCATGGGTTATCCACGAGGATTTCTCCAGATTGATTAAGGACAACTGGGATGTGAATGTCTGCTGGAAAGATAATGTTGAGAATTTTACGTTGCAAGTGGGCTTTTGGAGTCATAACGTCTTTGAACATTTGGGACAGCTCAAGAGTCGGCTAATGGGTAGACTCGAAGGTATCAACAAACAGTACAATCACTCAAGCATTCCCTCTTCTATTGAACAACTCCAAACGAAGCTCTGGCTGGAGTTAGAGGAGGTACTGATCAAGGAAGAACTCATGTGGGCACAGAAAGCCAAATGTAGTTGGTACTCATTGGGTGACAAGAATACAAAATATTTTCATGCCCGTGGAAATGGTAGGAAGCACAAGAATAAAATAGAAGCAATCAAGAATGATTTGAATGAATGGATTGATGACAAAACAGAGATTAAAGCTTTAGCTACTAATTTCTTCAGAGGTCTATTTGAGGAGGATGAAGTGTGCCCCATTTCAACGTTCAATGGTTGCTCCTTTACCTCGATCAACGACGTGTGGAAAGAAGATATGAGAAAGGAGGTTTCAAGTGATGAGATACGTTCTGCTATTTTCAGCATGGGAGCTCTTAAATCACCGAGTCCGGATGGTCTAAATGCTTTGTTCTTTCAAAGTCAATGGGAGATTTTGGGCCCTTCAGTTACTCGTGTGGTTAGGAAAGCTTTCGAGGATCCCCGCAATATTCAAGACCTTAATCATACTTTCCTGGTTTTGATTCCAAAAAGGGAGTTTCCTGAAACTATACGTGATTTCCGACCTATTAGTCTTTGAATGTTATTTATAAAGCCATTACGAAAGTTATATCTAATCGTATTAAATGCTTTCTTCCGCAGGTAATTTCTCCCAACCAATGCAGTTTTGTACCTGGCAGAACAAGCTCAGATAATATCATTGTAGCTCAGGAAGTCATACACTCTATGAGAAACATGACTGACAAGAAAGGTTTTATGGCGATTAAGATCGATTTAGAAAAAGCTTATGATCGAGTCCGATGGGATTTTGTCATGCAATGTATTGAGGAGCTCCAAATTCCTACAGAAATTAGTGAGGTCATTCGGGCTTGCATTACTTCTTCGTCCATGCAGATCCTTTGGGAAGGAAGTAAAGCAGAAAGCTTCTTGCCATCCCGTGGTTTGAGACAGGGAGACCCTTTATCCCCATATCTGTTTGTTATTTGCATGAAAAAACTCGCCCTTTTAATTCAAAAAGAGGTTACGGCTAAACGTTGGCAACCTATTCGTCTTGGTAAGAAAGGACCTCCTATATCCCATCTCTTTTTCGCTGACGATTTGTTATTGTTTGCAGAAGCTAGCATGGAGCAAGTGCTCATTTTGAAAAGCTGTCTAGATATATTTTGCAAAATGTCAGGACAAAAGATCAACACTTCCAAGACCAAGGTCTTCTTTTCTCGCAATATCAACCACACTCGAGTTAATCAGATGAGTGAGGCCTTAGGCTTTGCAAGCACTGCAAACTTGGGCAAATATCTTGGAGTACCTCTTCATCATGAGAAAGTGAACCCAGGCACTTATAATTATGTGATTGATAAAGTACGAGATAGATTGAATAACTGGAACGCTTCTTGTATTTCGCTTGCTGGACGGGATACTCTGGTCAAATCTGTTATTTCAGCCATGCCGAATTATTCTATGCAAACAGCGAACATCCCAGTTACTACTTGTGATGCTATTGAGAGGAAGGCCCGAGAATTTTTGTGGGGCTCCACTGAGGAGAAAAGGAAGCTGCACTCTATTTCTTGGGAAACAGTCTGTCACGAAAAAAGACTCGGAGGATTGGGGATGAGGCATATCAAGCAACAAAATAAAGCTTTTATGATGAAACTTGGATGGGGTCTCGTGAATGATCGCAGTTCACTTTGGGTTAAAGTTATCAGGGGAAAGTATGGGTGTGGCAACGACCTTCTACCAAGAGTCAATTTGAAAAAACCAGGTTCTAATACTTGGAACGGCATAAAACAGAACTGGAGCAAGGTAGAGGAAGGCATTCAACAGGTTCCAGATCGACACGGCAAGATTCAAGCTAGGTGGAAGTAGGAGAAAAGTGGTAAATTCACAGTCCATTCTGCTTATCAATCTCTTAATACCATCCTGTTGAATGCCACTGGCAAATGGAGGGATATTTGGAAACTTAAAATTCCCCAAAGATGCAAAACTTTTGCATGGATAATGTTACATGGAAGACTTACAACCAATGCCCGAAAGTAGAAAATGAACCTTCACCCTACAGGGTTCTGTGATAGATGCAACTCGGACGTGGAAGATGGCTTACATGCCTTTAGAGACTGTCACGGCATCAAACAAATGTGGAAATCCATAATTAAGCCCTCCTCCCAGAATCATTTCTTCTTAGCACAGTCTAAGGAGTGGTGTGAGTTGAATATGAAACGTAATGTGTGTATTTCCCAAGGAGCGTCGAAGGAGTTATTTATCATTATATGTTGGCTAATTTGGTGTGATAGAAATAATAGAGTTCACAATAATTCTAGTCAGAAGTCATCCAGCCTCGTGGCTCGAGCCATAGCAATTCTGGGTAGCATGACAAGAGCCATTGCCAAAGTTAGAGGAGCGCATCTTAGTAACTCCTCTAAATCTGCTAATCTGGACAGTATTGCCATTTCTGGTTATGAAGCGTATGTCGAAGTGGATGGAGCTTTCTCTCTTATGAACCGAAGTGCTGCCTGTGGAGGAGTCCTTAAAGATAGCAATGGGAAGATCATTGAAGGCTTTCAATTTAAATTACCAATGGGTGACGCTCTTTCTGCAGAGATATGGGGCTGCCTTTTAGGCCTCAAGAGAGCTTGGGACTGTGGCTTCAGAAATATCAGGCTAAGCAGTGATTCTCAAGAAGCCTTAGCGCTCTTTCAGACTGAACCTTCGGACCTCCACGAAAACCTGAGGCTGATCTTAGAAGTTAGAGACATATTGCAGAGGGACTGGAAGGTGGTGACTCAGTTTCTTCCACGAGAGGAGAATCATTTGGCAGATAGAATGGCGAAGCATGCTTTAGCTAACAGTGTGGGTTTGCAAATTATGAGTCTGGAAGCCGTCATGCGTCTCGTTCAAGAAGACACAGGAGATTAGAGTGTTTTGTTTTACTTGGTATTTTGTTTTGGTTAGTATTTTCCAGTATATCAAAAAAAAAAAACATGACTTGTATTTGTTTGAAGCTTAGTGGATGGCATGAATTTGGTGCTTTACAAACATATTTTGATGGTCCTCATCTCTTGAATGAGTTTGAAATTTGTAGGCACTTTGAGATGTCATGGATATGATTAACTAACTAATTGGTAAAGATGGATCTCAAATCTCACAAGGATGTAGAGAGTCTCCGAAATTCAACTTTATCTCATTTTTTTTATAAAATAAATTACATTCTTACTAAAAAAAC